TTTCATAATAACTAAACGATGATGATTATTATTATTATTATTGTCATTATTATTATTATTATCATTATAGATATGTGTATATAGACAGAGAGATCCAAGCATAGAAATTATTTAGCGCACTTAATGTATTTATGTATTATGATAATAATATAAAAACAACAACAAACACCAACTAAATTAATTAAATTAACTAAAAAAATGTATTATTAAATTAATTATTACAATTACAAAATCGCAAGAAAAACTATATATGAAAAACAAAAAACCACAAAAAAACTATTAAAAATATATACAACAATTAAAAAAAAAAATATCAACAGAAACTTTTTATTTGAGGTTGAAGAAGCATTACAGAATTTTCTTTACAGGTCTCTTGTTTACAGGGTATCATGGACATATAAGTATTTGATTTGATGCTCCACATTTGCTTGGCAAATGCAAAAGTAAACAAATACATAAATTCTATTTCAATTTATTTCTCTAGCTGGCCAATCAAAAATGTTATTTAAACAACTTGGGAAACCATTCGAGATTACATTTTGTTATTTAAATTAATTGGCACTTTGCACTGAAAGTGCAAACCCCAAAAGTTTCGCCGCCAAATCGGAAAATGCATAGCTAACTAAATAACGCAATGAAAAACACGCATAAAGTTAATTGCTTGTAAATAATTATTTATAAATAAATTAATGCAAATGCACTCGAGCAAACACCCAAATAATTGTAATGCAAATAATCAACTAAGAATCCAGCAGTCCGGCTAGACTGACTGCACTATACTCGTTCATGGCTTTGAGAATAGCTAAACAAAACGAAAGATAATTATTTGTAAATTAAATTGAATTTTGAGATTTATCTAAAGCTGATGTCAACTGGAATACATGTATTATATAGAACAGGATTTCTCTTTTGTGAAAGTAAGTGAAGACGGATTACAGTGCTGGTCTTGTGAAGTATGATAATGAAGTAAGATAATGCTAATCATAATTTGGACATGCGGAATAGAAGTCTTCAATACAGCATCGAAATGACAGGAAATATGGGATACACCCAGGCCACATTTAGTTATATATATTATATAAAACTAAAAATGTCCTTGTGGTGGAAATTTCAAATTTATTTCTCTTCTTTTATAAATCTAAAATAAATTGAAATAATAATAATGTAAAATAAA